TGGCTACAAAAAAAAGTTAAAAAAATTAACAAAAATTTTAAAAAATTTGCGTTTTTACTAACATTTAATATATTTGATCAATTGGCAATTTTTCCCAAATATTTTGTTTACATGTCAGTCGACATTTTGGTTTTATTTCTTTAGAAAAAATATAGGTGAAATATTTTAGTACACATATACAACAAAATTCATATCTAAATGACATTATATAACATGCTCTTTTAGCTAACCCAATGATAGGCAAAACATTTTCAATTGAAAAAGTAATCTGTGACCTGTTTTTGTCAGTTGGCTAACAGCAAAAAAAATCTAACCAATAAATGCAGATGCGAAAAAGCCGCAAAATTGGGGCACAAAAACTATATACAAGAAATAAATAGAATGCGGGTCGATGGCACTGACATATACTGCAATCATTTGATTGCAACTTTCAATAAAAAGGCAAACAAGAATTCCTGTGCTCCACATTCAATGGCAAACAAATGAATGCAAATGGACAGGGGCAGGAAAAAAAAAGACCAGTGTTCAAATGCCAGATGATGGGTCCTTCAGTGACTTTCGATATCCTGACTATTCCACTCATCCGGATGACTACTAAAGGAAAGTAGAAATTAAAAACACTCAAACTGTGTGTTATCCAGTCAGCCACTAGAGAACGAGATTGAAGATTGCCAAAGGACTAGAATCGGACCAAGGATAAGTGCATAAGTCCTAAAGGGAGTCATGCAAAAATGGGAACAAAAAACTCAACTGGGGAAATCAATATTACGCAGACTGGCAGACAAGTAGATATCATCCTACGAATCCTTTCGATGAGTGGAATGTGAGTTCAACTGTTGCACAGACACTTGCCACCGGTTGGAATTGCCACTTGACAAATTTCCAAGCTCCCCCTTTTTACCTCCATCCGTCACAAAACTTTTACCGGGAACTTGGTCCGGCATGAAAATCGCCCAAATATATAGGGGCAGAAAAGTTGTTCCTTCCACGGAACTACGGAACTTGACCAACCATTTCACATGGCTAATCGTCAAATACCAGGGACATGCGATCTCGATTTCCCGACATGTCTCTCTCATTAAAAAGTAAAATAAACAAGCGTAAAAAACTTTCCGAATCAAATGTGAACGGGAAAACTGAAAGCAACAGCCAAAAACAGTGCGGCAAAATACAAAAAAAAAAGAAAAATAGTAGAGAAAAACCACTTGAGAAAGCAGCAAAAGTTTTCCATTTATAACGAGCTCAGGCTCTCCAGTGGATTTCAGAGGGCAGAGTTCAGGGAGCAAAGACTGAATGGATGGCCTGACTGCTGTACAAATAGAAACAGCACCGACTGCCGGGCTTAGTCATAAGCGAGAGTTGAGCGCGAGTTTTTGCCACTGCATACATACATGTGCACTGTGAAAAAAAAGGCATTGAAATAAGCTATAAGTTCTCTATTGAGGCCTAAAGCTTTCGTAAATTCGTTATCTTAAATAATTCTCAATGTGGTCACATGGTTTTACTATCAATGTGACCAAACTTGTTTACTTACATTGTAGAGTGACCAAATGGTCAGAAGCTAAACACCAACAATTATTTTAATAAGTGTTGATGCTTATTAAAAATCTAAAACAAATATTTAATGTTTCTTTTAAATTAAAACTTTAATCAAGAAACACAAATTGTTTCATAAATATTTTTGCTTGTTTTTAAGAAATATTTTTCCCAGTGCCACCATCTAGGCGGCCATGTATCTTCTGCTGTCTCATTTTCAATGTGTGCTTGGCCAAACTTTAAATGTGGCGGTAATGAAATTGTTGGCAGCAAATGTTGTCAACACTAATACTAAAATACCTCCCATATACACATAAGGGTTTCATAGACGGACCCACACTCAGACAGACATCATCAACACCATTTTATGACATGGTTCCGGCGATGGCATCCTGCAGATTCGCCGAAGCCGAAAAGTTCTTCGAAATGCCAGACCAACTAAAACAACAAATATTTGGTAAACTTTGAGCTGAAACTGTGTTGGGTGAGAAACATTTTGCGGTAGCGTCTTGTTTTGGGTTTCAGCCATGTGAATCGCTTAAGATTCCAGGAAAGCGTCAAAAATAAAAAAAGTTAATTTGTATTTGATTAGAGAAAAAGTTTTCGGACGAACTTAATTAGCCAGGTAAATTAGTGGGCTAAACTTCTTATTTTTGAAGAAGCTATTCTAAAATTGCAAGACTTACTTCTGTCTATAAATGGAATTATGGATTCTAGAAGTGCATTTTTGGTTTAGCAATCTGGAGGCCTGGGAATTACGAAAAAGTAGAACATGAAAATTGGTAAAAAATTTGACCTTCTATTATAAGATTAATTTGAATGCAGATTATTTAAGAATTCAATTACAAACTCATAGAGGTATCCCACGCCTAAATCAGATTACAATAACACAAGTTATGGAATCTAGAAGTTCATATTTGGGGTTCCATTCTGGAAGTCATCGGAAATTCAGAAAAATCAGACATGAAAATGGACTAAAATTTGGACCCTCATTTAGAAGAACAATTTTAATGCAGATTATTAAAGAATTCAATTACAAACTCATAAAGGTATCCCACGTCCAAATCGGGTTGCAATAACTCAAGTTATGGAATTTAGAAGTTCGATTTTGGGGTCCCATTCTGGAAGTCAGCGGAAATTCAGAAAAATCAGACATGAAAATGGACTAAAATTTGGACCCTCTTTTAGAAGAACAATTTTAATGCAGATTATTAATGAATTCAATTACAAACTCATAAAGGTATCCCACGCCTAAATCAGATTACAATAACACAAGTTATGGAATCTGGAAGTTCATATTTGGGGTTCCATTCTGGAAGTCATCGGAAATTCAGAAAAAGCAGACATGAAAATGGACTAAAATTTGGACCCTCTCTTAGAAGAACAATTTTAATGCAGATTATTAAAGAATTCAATTACAAACTCATAAAGGTATCCCACGTCCAAATCGGGTTGCAATAACTTAAGTTATGGAATCTAGAAGTTCGATTTTGGGGTCCCATTCTGGAAGTCAGCGGAAATTCAGAAAAATCAGACATGAAAATGGACTCAAATTTGGACCCTCATTTAGAAGAACAATTTTAATGCAGATTATTAATGAATTCAATTACAAACTCATAAAGGTATCCCATGTCCAAATCGGGTTTCAATAACTGAAGTTATGTAATCTAGAAGTTCATATTTGGGGTCCCATTCTGGAAGTCAGCGGAAATTCAGAAAAATCAGACATGAAAATGGACTAAAATTTGAACCCTCTTTTAGAAGAACAATTTTAATGCAGATTTTTAAAGAATTCAATTACAAACTTATAAAGGTATCTCACGTCCGAATCGGGTTTCAATAACTCAAGTTATGTAACCTAGAAGATCGATTTTGGGGTCCCGTTCTGGAAGCCAGTGGAAATTCAGAAAAATCAGACATGAAAATGGACTAAAATTTTGACCCTCTTTTAGAAGGTCAATTTTAATGCAGAATATTAATGAATTCAATTACAAACTCATAAAGGTACCCCACGTCCAAATCGGGTTGCAATAACTCAAGTTATGTAATCTAGAAGCTCGATTTTGGGGTCCATTCTGGAAGTCAGCGGAAATTCAGAAAAATCAGACATGAAAATGGACTAAAATTTGGACCCTCTTTTAGAAGAACAATTTTAATGCAGATTATGAAAGAATTCAATTACAAACTCATAAAGGTATCCCACGTCCAAATCGGGTTGCAATAATTCAAGTTATGGAATCTAGAAATTCGATTTTGGGGTCCCATTCCGGAAGTCAGCGGAAATTCAGAAAAATCAGACTTGAAAATGGACTAAAATTTGGACCGTCTTTTAGAAAAACAATTTTAATGCAGATTATTAATGAATTCAATTACAAACTCATAAAGGTATCCCATGTCCAAATCGGGTTTCAATAACTCAAGTTATGTAATCTAGAAGCTCGATTTTGGGGTCCATTCTGGAAGTCATCGGAAATTCAGAAAAATCAGACATGAAAATGGACTAAAATTTGGACCCTCTTTTAGAAGAACAATTTGAATGCAGATTATTAAAAAATTCAATTACAAACTCATAAAGGTACCCCACGTCCAAATCGGGTTGCAATAACTCAAGTTATGGAATCTAGAAGTTCGATTTTGGGGTCCCATTCTGGAAGTCACTGAAAATACAAAAAAAATCAGACATGAAAATGGCTAAAATTTGGGCCGCATTTTAAATGAACAATTTTAATGCAGATTATTAAAGAATTCAATTACAAACTCATAAAGGTATCCCACGTCCAAATCAGGTTTGAATTACTCAAGTTATGGAATCTAGAAGTTCGATTTTGGGGTCATATTCTGGAAGTCATCGGAAATCTAAAAAAATATTGTTTAGTTGTTATTTGTAATTGTTAATGATAATGAAAAGACAGTGAAAATTTGTTATAATTCACTACTTTAATTTTTAAATAGGTAGTTTTTAATTTTTACAGCTGTTGGCAAATCCAAATCGAATTTGATTCCCTTTAGTCATCTGGATAATCTACGCTGGTCATTTGCATATATTAACAAGCGGGTTAAGTTCCGCGTTTAATTAGCCGCTTACCCATTTGGACTCCATTAGTTTGACCTTAAATTAAGCAACGCTGTCGAGCATAATTTAGGCAACATCTGTCAGCTTGAACCTGTCCCTTTACCTGCATAACAAATAGGTGATTACCATAATGGGACTAAATGAATATTCAGCAGATGGAGCGAATCCTTTTCAATAGATGAAGTTTCGGGTTAAAGTGAGCTTATGAAGTAAAGTTAAGATTGGAAAGGTAAACTTAGAAAACTTTTTCTTCACACCATTTCAAGAAGAAGCTTTCTAAGACAACCTTAAGGCCTTAAATTCATAAATAAACAATGATCGATAAAGCAACCCTTGAAACCAACTTCCGACAGTTTATATATTTTTAGCCTATGGATTCTGGGTATAGCCTCAGTTTACCTTTTGCTGTGAATGTGTTGTGTGCCTAGTCCGGTTTTGGAAAATATAGAAAAAAAAACCATAAGTTTTCTTTATCAAAATTATTTGTTGTGTTTCGTGTCTTTTGTTTAATGTTCGTGAATTGAATTGTAGGATAGCGATAAAACCGATTGATTCCCGAATGCATAACGCTTAAAGAAAGACATTTGAAGTAGTAATCCTCTTTGGTGGACACGAAATTCGCAGTCGTAACTAAATTTGGTCCGTGCAGGCAAATAGTTAGATATAAAGAAAGTCACCCGCGATGAACAAGCTGCGAAATGTTCTAAAATCTGTGGTCCAGCGGTCCAGGAGCTTGCCCCAGATAATCCAAATACGTAATGCCTGCGGGGCGGAATCGAAGAGCTCAAAAGGTCTGGTGATCGGTGTTTATCAGAAGGAAGGCGATAATGAACCCAAACTAACGCCCGCTGGCGAAAAGGTCGACCATCGTCTACAGGGCAAGTTGCAAGAGCTAATTTGCGAGACCAAGATCACAGGTCGTCTGGGCAGGGGCAAGGTCTTCAACAACATAGATCCCGAATTTCGCAGTCTGGCAGTGGTTGGCGTCGGTCTCGAGGGCATTGGCTTCAACGAACTGGAAATGCTGGACGAGGGCATGGAGAATGTCCGAGTGGCGGCCGGAATTGGAGCCCGTTCGCTTCAGGAGATCGAGGTGACGGAGGTCTTTGTGGATGGCATGGACTATGCCGAACAGGCGGCCGAGGGTGCCGTTTTGGCCATTTGGCGGTATTGTGACCAGAACTCCAAGAGGAAGCCACCCCACATTCCCAAGCTGCAGCTGTACGAGTCACCCGACTATGATAGTTGGACCCGGGGCGTCTTCAAGGCGGAGGCTCAGAACTTGGCCCGCAGGATGTGCGATACCCCAGCCTGCTGTATGACACCCACACTCTTCGCCCAGGCCACCGTGGATGCCCTGTGTCCTTGCGGAATCACCGTGGAAATCCGCACTATGGAGTGGATTGAACAGCAGCGCCTGCATTCATTCCTTATGATCGCCAAGGGCAGCTGTGAGCCACCCGTTCTCATGGAGATCACCTATTGTGGCACTAATCCGGAGGATAAGCCCATTTTGTTCCTGGGCAAGGGCATTACCTTTAATTCTGGAGCCATAAATCTGAGGCAATGCAAGGGAATGGATGAGTACAGGGCCTGTATGTCGGGAGCGGCTTCTTGTGTGGCCATGATGCGATGTTGTGCCGCACTATCTCTACCCATCAATGTGTGTTGCATCATCCCGCTGTGCGAGAATATGCCCTCGGGAATGGCCTGTAAGCCGGGCGATGTGGTCACCCTGATGAATCACAAATCCATGGCCGTACGAGATCTGGACAAGGCTGGTGTGGTCGTGATGGCTGATCCCATGCTCTATGGCCAGAGCACCTATAAACCCAGACTGGTGGTGGATGTGGCCACCTTGGGATCGGGTGTCAAGAAGGCCTTTGGCGGCGGTGCCACTGGCATATTCTCCAATTCCCATTACATCTGGAAGCAGTTCCAGTCCGCAGGAGCCCTCACCGGCGATCGGGTGTGGCGTCTACCCCTGTGGAATTATTACAAGAAACAAATCACCGATGAGATGGGCTATGATATCAGCAATAATGGTCGGGGATTGGCAAGTTCCTGTTTGGCGGCCGCTGTGCTTCACGAACTGGTTCCCTGTGTGGATTGGGCCCATCTGGATACCCGGGGCACTGGCATGTTGACAAAGCACGGACTGATACCATATCTCACCAGGAAGTACATGACTGGCAGGCCCACGCGCACCCTGGTGCAATTCCTCTACCAAATGGCCTGCCCGGCTAACCAGAAATGAAGGAAGATCTGAAGAGCAGTCGGTATAATCCGATCGGAATGAAATCGTATGAGAAGCAGATATTTTTGTAAGATATCCTACATGTATCGAAGTCCTGTATAGAATGTTTTGTAAGCTGTCTTGTGGAGTGATTAGTATTCCTGTATTGTGGCAAGTTGTACAAAATTTGTGTGTGAAGTGTGCTTAAAACAAGAATATAAAAGATTTTACAAATGTAAATAATTTTATTCCACAAACCTTGATGGGTAATAGAAACAAATTGTGTAGAACAAAAATGCAAGTCCACCTGGGGGCGCCAATTAAAATATTTTTCGTCAAACCTAATTCCAAAAATCTTTTCATGTTGTAAAATAACCATATTCCGTTTTGATTAAAGTCTGAAAGGCACACCATCTCTTTTGGTTAAATTAAAGGCCCCCAAATACGGGTAATGGCTATCCTAGCACACGTTTCCCTTCCAATTAGACAAACAAATTTTCCCAATTTTCACACATTTGACACGTTTCAGCCATTTCGAAGGAGGCTTTCAACACACCTCTATGGTTAGAATGAGGGTCTGGGGCTTCGAGAGCATCCTTGGCTGGCAAAAGGATATTTACATTTCCACATGAGCTCGGCACCTCGCCCTTAGCCGTGTCTTTGTTGATGAAATTGCTCCAGGATATTACTTTGAATTATCATAAATAACCGAGTAAGGCAATGGCAACAGCGATATGTGTGCCAGTTCGTGTGTATCCTGCGGTTGGAGGATCAGGTGGTCCTTTCATACAAGGGCTGGATATTAAACCAGGCTATTTTCTCGTAGCTTACACTCAAATATAAATTCATAGATTTTTGTAACCTAAGAACAAAAATATATACATATACTAAATTATTTGAATCGAAAAGAACATATAAAAAATTCAGTTCTGTTAAAGAAATGCCCTAATGTTTAATTCAACGTTTCCCATTTTTTAAATTTTGTGATTTTATTACACCAGTATTTTTCCGAGTGTAGATTTATGATATCCAATAAAGTAGACGCAAAATGTTCAGCAGGTAATCTGGTATCCTTGCTCAAAATGTTTCTCTTACAATTTAAAAGCCACAAGCCACGGATGAGTTTCCAAGTTGCCGAAAAGTTTATTGAAAGCTTTTCACATTTTTTGCTAGCAAATGGATTGCGGCAATCGGTTAATGTGCGTTTCAGATTGCCAATTAAAAGTATTTGTACTCATCGAAGTATTAAAATGAGGCATCGCGGAAGTTCCGGCTTTCATTCTCTCGGCTTATACCGATTTTCCATTGATTGGCATTTAAAATTTCATTAAAATACTTTTCCGTTTACACAGGCATACTTTCGAGCAATAAACGAAGGACACTCTCCTCGAGATGGTATTTTATGTAATATCCTTTTTTATGTAAGTTCGCATTTTTCCAAGCGAATGGATGTTAACCATTTTCATCATTATCCAGAGGGCAGCAGTTACTACCGCACACGTGACCGTTGGACATTAATCTATAGATATTCGCTTATGGAAAATCCTTGGACTTTGGTCTTTGGTCCTTGGTTCTTGGTCCTTGGTCCTTGGGCCACACGTCCAGGCCACAACGTTTTCAATTTATTTCGCTTTCCATGTGCGGGCGTGTTGGCAGCCATTAAATATATTGGATTGTACGTTAACCGAATTAAATTCGCATCTCCCCAGGCAAAAGTGCCAAGAGTACAACGAAAAATTAACATAATTTACTTCACTCTTTTACGACCTCACTGGTTAAGTCAAGAATAATTTGTTTGTCAACAAAAGGCCAAATTCAATTACAGTCGCCCAACGACAAAGCCTCTTTCGAACTTGAGCCACAAAAGCCAAGCGAACACAATGGGCTTAGGATATATATTTCCCCCTATCATATGTGAGTGGCCTGGAAAAATGTGGAAAAACGAGTGGAAAAAGCGGCTGTCTAGCCTGGGTTATAATGCTACAAAAGAGGGTTATGTGTGTGGGGCATGTAACTTTTTAATTTGATTTGCTCTTGCCCACACACTTTTTCACAGCTTTTTAATTTCTTACTTTTCTCCTTTTAATTACGCAAGGGAAAAGTTTTTCACATCTGCCGCCGGTCTTGGAAAATTCATATCTGCACTTTGATAACTTGATCAAAGTTTTCGAGTTCGTTTCACTTCACTAGCAGATTGATTGCAATTAATTTATGCATGTGCTTCACCATTGCATTCGCCACAAAAGAATGAAATTGTAAAATTGTGGTTTAAAACTATGCGTTTAATATTGTATGTGAAAATCTAAAGACTTATATCCAAAAAGAAATTGTATAGAATAATTTCTTTAAGAAAAAGAAGAAACACTTCCTTGTATGAGATATAGACCCCTTTCTCAGCATTTTCGATATTAATGGAAAATCCCGATTAATAAAAACCAGAAGTGAAATCGTCCTACGTTTATTAAAAATTCGTATCGAAAGTAGAAATTCCTTTTGCCAGTTGTTGGTCCGGTTCCATCATCAGATGTCATCCCTCTTTGGGAGATTCTTCATGAAGCCTTCGGTCTTCGGTCGTATCCCAAACTGGCTGAATCGCAGGGCCCAGGAAATATTGGTGTTGCTCCCAACTTCTAGAACTGGCTGAAGACGCCTCAAGTTGTCCCGGCTTTTATCCTGACGAACCAATTGCATGGCAGCGGAATGACGTATACGATTCGCTATGAGCGGCATAGCTAATAATAGATTTCGAAACATTCTGAAAATTGTTTTTTTTTCTAAATAAATAAACTTTGAATCTGGATTTTGGATCTTATGATGTGTTTCGTGCTAAAATTTGATTTCAACTGAGGTTTCAGAGTTATGGGCCTGGCATCTGAAACGAAGTTTGTGTTTCGAGATTTCTATGATAGCCTGATCTCTAAGTTTGCTCCATAAAAATCTTTAAAATAAAATTAAGAAATGAAACAATTTTTAACATTTTAGAATTATTTGAAATTTATAATCAATATTCTACAAATTTTTTCTTTCTATTTTTAAAACCGTGAGCTTAAAAAGATTTTAAGTCTTCCAAGTCCATACTTAATTAAGTATTGGATTGTTCGCTGTGTATTTCTGCATGTGAAAAAGTGTCAACTTGCATCCGGTTGACTGCTTTTGACGTTGGCCAAACTTAGTTTGCTGCCAATAAATCAAATTCCCAATCACATCAAGCTGAGAGCATAGAGCCAATTTTTACTTTGCCACTTCCCAGCCCCACGCCCACTTATCTGCCCCCAACATCCCACCCATCTGAAGGCCATTAATCAATCAAATAGAGAGATAGAGAGAAGCCAAAACTGAAAACCGATATGGGTACAATCGAAGGCTACAGATGGATTTCGAATCCACACATGCATTTGACAGAGCTTAAAGGTTTTCGGTTAATATCCGAGTTAATTAAAGTGCACTTAATAAACCTCAACTAGTATCCATCGAAATCGAGATACCATTGCGAGACCTTGCTTGTGGCTAACCAGTGGAAACATCTGGCCAAACATGCCGGAAAACTCAAACCCAAGAGCCATCAAACGTTGCCAAGTCAGACGAGTTCGCATTGCCAGTGGCAATAATCACAATTTAATATTCATGACGTTCTCGCAGTCAATGTATTTGGGAACATTTCACCACGAGTTGCAACTGTCGATGGAGCTGAAGAAAGTCCTCCGGACACTTCAACACGAGTCATTTTTTATTCACTTTACTTTTATCTTTTTTCCCAGGCGACAAAAGCTCAGGTCGCAAGAATTTTTAGAGATAAAACTTTGAACAACACGTATTTGATTTTTTATTCATTTATTTTATCAGCCCTAAAAAAATATTAGAGATATTTTTTTCAAAAATAAATATTTTGGGTATCTTAACTTGGTTGATTTGATTTTATTAGCTTTTCTAAATGTTGAAATTTTTCGATAACTTGAAATATTTGTCAAAAACGTTTTTCAAAATCTAATATATAGTAATATTTTTTTTATATCCAATTTTCTAATCGTAGTCCTAATTTGTGTGTCGCCTGTGCAGTCACCATGTTTTGGATCTCCATCTAGTGTTTGCTCTGATGTCGCACATTCAATAAGCAACGAACCCAATTTACCCACTCTTTCCCCGTTTTCTCCCTTGAGTCAACGGGGAGCTACAAAGCCGACACCCTTTGCTCATCTGTTATTTATCATACTGGGCCATATCCTTGCTCTCCCCTGGTCCTGTTCCTTCCCAAGGAAACCCACAACGCGAGCTTTTCCTTCTGGCTCCTTTCACTTCCTTTCGGGCCTTTTGTGTGTTTGTGGGTGTTTTGTGAAGAGAGAGTGGCATTCTTTTGGCTTTACATATTTTTTTTCTCGAGCACTTCCGCTTGTTTCCTTCAGCTTCTTCCTCTAGTCCTTCGACTAAGGCCAGTAGTTTTGCCAGCTGATTTTCTTTTAGCGATAAGCGGGGCGGGCCATATAGTTTTTCCCCATGTCCTACTACTCTATTCTTTCTACACAAGAAAAAAAGGGTAATATCATGCAATGACTATGTAGCTTTCGTACATACTCAATATAAATATTTGCTAAGTCAATTTAGTATTTCCAGCCACCGATGCGAATACGTTATATTTTCATACATTTTGTTATAAGTTATGTTATATTTACTCATTCAGTACCTATTGTTAAAACAACTTGATTTTTGTGCTAACCATTTTATTGTACCATTTTCTGACATTATTTACTGAAGTAAATTTAGCATTACCAGCCAACAGTGCGTATACTTAATATTTTCTCGGTGTATTCCAAACAATTTTCGCTTCCACTTTGTTGCAATTTCTCCTTCACTTTTTCCAGCCCCTGGCCAAATTTATGACTACTGACGATTCAGAGATCTGCGAATTAGTTCCTCCGCCCTGTGTTTTCCCGCCCCGGGGCATTTTCAACGCATCAGCTGCTTATGCTGATTGGCGAATTAATAACAGGCCTGTTCCCTAACTGATTTCGGCGCCATTCGCCCGGGAGGAATTGGGAAATAGTTTGTGTGGATTCCATTGGGTTATCAATTCGTAGGTTTATGCCTTTTGAATTTATCATCGAAGTGGAAAGAATATTTCCTTTTGCTCCAACGATAAGATGGTTGAAATCTCTGTGGGAATTTGCCTTCAACTTAATATTCGCTTTGGGGTCTATTGTTTGCCAACTTTGTGATAGATATTTAGGGCA